TACGTCAAAAACAGATCAATCAGCTTGACGTTACATTTAAAATATAACAATATGAAGGCATTTTTGAAGGAGAAATTGTCTTATTTTTTACACTAAATGGTGAAAAATTAAATAATAAAGAATAAATTTAGTAGCGACCCAATAGTGGTATAACCTGGATTGGAACAGTTTACACTTTTTTTTAACCGCTTCACGGTTTATACAGCGTAAACTGCCCCAGCCCAGGTTATACCAGCATAATTTTGGTAGCTATTCCATTCATTCCTTAAATAATTGAAAATGGTGAAAGCAAAAGAACGTTTTAGATCGAAACATTGTTTGCTTAAATCTAAATTATTTCATCTTGCAACAAGTGATCCAGGACATCCTCTTCATCTGATCATATCTGACAATATCTGGTTGTTTTCCAAGGTTAAAATAAATTATGTTGATTGATAAGTGCGTTTGCTTTTTTTTTTTTTTAATTCGAAACTGTAGCAGCTGGTACATGTAAATGATATATGCATCTACACAGTGTCATGTGATTTTGATGAGTGGTCAAAAGAAAAATATGCGCAGAATTAATTTATCACCCTCAAACCAATATCTGCATTATCAAAAAAAAATATGTATATATAAATAAATAAATAAATAAAATAAAATAAAAAATAAAAGTCTTACTGGGGGTGCAAAGTCACTAAAACTAAGTAAATGTACTTCATAAATATATTTAGTTTATATTGTGGAAAAATTGTTTGAACATGCTATTAGTTATAATTAAAATTTTATTTTGAGGAAAGAACATATTTCAAACAAATACATCAGTCAATAGAATTATGAAAATTTCGTTTAAATTTCTATTAAAAAGACTAATTTAAATCTATATGTATAAATCGTGTAAACCTACACAAATATCACAGAGGTTGTTGCTACTTTCGAAAATTTAATTGAAGTGCAACTCAAACAATGCATGGAATATATGGAGATAACAAACAGTATTCAAGCTCAAAAGTCTATTAAACAATACAAACTTTGGAGCAGAGCAAACATGGACCTCCAAAACATCAGAGGTGGGATCAGGTGCTATGGAGGAGTGAGCATCCCCGGCCGACCGGTCATACATGGAGATAACGAACAGTATTCAAGCTCAAAAGTCCATTAAACAATCCAAATTTTCGAGCAGAGGAAAATCAGACCTCCAAAACATCAGAGGTGGGATCAGTTGCCATGCATCTAGGCAATTATGATTTCTCTATTGATTACTGTAGTTTTACGTTTCTTTTAAATTAAATTATTTGACTCACGGGAGATGTCGGATAAGGATTTGAAATTTAGACTTTTGTTTGGCACTAAGCGCTTTTGAGAAGGGAGGGTTCTTTAGATTGTCAACGCTACCTGCTACCCAAGACCGCGGTCGTGAGGCCTCATCCGGAAGAACAACGACTTTTCTATCCAAAATGTAATTAGATGCATCAGATTTGAAAATTAAGTTTATGAATAATTTGCAATTTTTTTCCCTAAAATTTGAATTTATTTTACAAGAATTTTTACCGATGACAGAACATTATATGCTGTTCGTTTACCACGGACGGGGCAATGGACTTTTTCAGTGTATGTTGCTCTGCAAATTATCGTAAAAAAACCCGTAAAATAATTATTTAACAAGATAGTATTAACTTGCTTAATTACAATTTGTGTGGGTAGGTAGGTTGAATTTCTCGTGAAATATTCTATGTTCCTTTGTTATTCCTACAAGTCCGAAGCCGAGTCAACTGAGCTAGTTTTCTGATGGATTAAGAGAAAATAACAGCACTATTGAAAGTGAAAAAATGTCATTTATTCAAGTAAACGACACAAAACAAAAATACACATAGTTAGGGGGTCAGAAGAGACTAGAAAAAACTTCTAAAGAACACAAAAATCTTTGGCATCATATTATGAAAGAACTGGCCCCCTAAAGTTAAACATTCCATAAATCAGGCACTGATATGCCTGCCATCAAAAAAGGGTGGGATAGAACAAAATGAATGCAAAATATGAACACTAATACATATATAACAATAATAAGAAAACGGTGGAAGAAAGGGGATGGATGGAGGGTTTTTTCAACAAAAATTTCTCTCGCAATTTTGCGTGGCTTTCTCCTTCGGTAAATAAATAACAATGGTCACGTGACTGGGACGTGATTGGGAGAAGCCACGCCGATTGGCTTCTCTAATAACTAAAGAACAATTAAGATGAAATATGAATATAATGAACAGTATTCAATCTCAAAGTCCAATAAAACAATGCAAATTTGGAGCAGAGCAAACACGGACATCAAAATTTAGGGTTAGGATCAGGTGCCATGGAGGAGTAAGCAATCCCTGCCGACCGGTCACACCCGCCTTGTGTTCCTTGTCATGATCGGGAAACAAAAACCCGAAAAATCCGTAAAAAAGTTCAGTACATAAATAATGGCCTAACAATTAGTATGAAAAATGATCAAATCCGATGTCAGTTCATCAACTCCAAAAACCTAATTTTTTTTAAAATTTTGAAACTTGATTTAAGAGAACAAGGACGTCCTCTTTGTCAGACAATATCAGATTGTTTTCCAAGGTTACAATATGTTCTTAGATATTAATTAAAGCGTTCGTTGTGTTTTTATTTTAGTCAAATATGCAACATGTGGTATTATGTGGTATCAAGTGATTCGGATAACGGAACAAAAGAAAAATATACGCAGAATTAATTTATAACATTCAAACTAAAATATTATAATAAACTTACATGTAAAATACACAATGCAACATCACTAAAATAATCAACTTTAGTTTACTCAATACTTTCATGTTTAAATATGGAAAATGACGCAAGGTTTCTTTAGAAATTTTATAATTCTAGAAATATTCTTAAATCTGTCTTCCAGACAGTCTTTTAATTATAAGCTGGCCGTCAGAATATGAAATTCGCTTAGTAATATGTACGAACCTGAGAACACGTTAGTTATTCATGTAAAGGACTTGTTTTAGAAAATGATTCAAGAATGAAAGAAGTATTGAGTGAATTTCGGTTAATCAAAAGTAAACGACAGAGCCCCTCCTTAAAGAAGATTTTAACAATTTAAAAATACAGAAGAAACACCCGTTATTAGAAAATTTCATCACCCAAGATGTGGGACCTGTCCTTTTTTACAAGAAACCGAACAGTTTATCTTTAAAACCAGAAGAAAGTTCATTGTTCATTTATCTTTTACCTGCGAGAGCAGGGCTCTAATTGGCGACTAATTTATTGCGCCTAAAACTTTTCGTTTGGCGCCTAAAATTTTTCCATAAGTCGCCAAATTGGTGACCATTTTAAATTGACTTTGCGATTGTCGAATTCCTGAAATTTTCACATTTTTTACAATTTTTCTGAAAAAAAGAGAAGAAATTTAAAAGAAGAGAAAATTATTTTTAGCAATGGACATGTCATGTTTTCTTAGGCACGTTATGGGTCCCTATATTCTATTAACTTTTAAAGTTGGCGCCTTAGAAAAATTGCCTGGCGACTAAAAATTTGCATTGGCGACTAAATTCTTTTGATCAGGCGCCAGCTGGCGCCTAAATTTTAGAGGCCTCTTAGAGGCCTGGAGAGTTCTGATTTGATATATGTCATTACATGTTCAGGATACGGTGAGCATTATACTGTGCCAAACCGGGGACACCTTTAGACACCGAATGGCCGTCCATCGTCATCAGATTCGTCAAACCGAGTACCAGTGCTCTGCCGTAAGCGAACATTTTAATTAGAACATGTGTAAAAACATATTTTCTAACTTCACAGTGTTTCCAATAACAGAGGTTCTACAACACGACGTCACAATGTACTTTGAAATGTTTGTATCTATAGCAATACGTCAAATGATGATATAATTGAAACCGGTAGAGTATATCTATCTATCTATCTCTATCTATCTATCTATCTATCTATCTATCTATCTATCTATCTATCTATCTATATCTATATCTATCTATCTATCTATCTATCTATCTATCTATCTATCTATCTATCTATCTATCTATCTATATATATATATATATATATATATATATATATATATATATATATATATATATATATATATATATATATATATATATATATATATATATATATATATATATATATATATATATATTTTAAAAAGCGGAAGTTTTCGTCTCAGGCAAAGTTATATTTTCTTTGACCGGGTATTCAAAACAGTGCAGGATGATAGGACTAAAAACTGATTTTAAAGGATATAATTGAAATATTTAAGCCTGGATAAGTTTTGTGATATCACTTCTTCCTATGCCTGCATGCGCGGCTTTGTGTAACTTCTATAAAAAATGTTTTGTGATATTGTTTACTGATTGTATTCCACTTTTTAGTCTCCCCTTATTGTCTAGAAATAGAAAACACAGTGGATATAATGCCTCTGTGGACAACTGCATATATCCTATAAGTTCCATTTATTAACTATTAAATATTATTGTGTTTTCAATACAAAAATCAAAGCAACAGATAATACATAACACTGTTATATCCCTTTAAAAGTCTACTTTTAAATTAAAATACATGGACAAATTCATTTGGTAATACCGAGTATGTGAAATCTCAAACTATGATCTATTTTAAACAAAGGGGGGGGGGGGTACATCGTAATTCTGTTATTATCTATAAGCTATCTCATTTTAGAAAATATCCGGCGAATATGTGGTAGAGGTCAAGAAAATAATCATGAAACAAACATTTTTTTTTATTGCTAACGTTTTGTTTTGTGATATGTCACATAAGTATGGAAACATGCGGATTCAGCTTTTTGTGATGACACTATTTGACTTTTCATTACGAATAATACATGTGTAAAACTGAACATCAAGAGATCCACATGTTAAAAAATCATATCAAAAACTTTGAAATAATATTATAAAGCTCTAATTTTACGTGACAGCTGTTAGTTATCCTGCTATCCTGTTAGTAATTGTTTGAAGCAGAATTTCCGAATCAAGGTCGTCAAATAGTTCCCAATGTATAAATAGAAAATACGGGAACACGATAAAGTTAATTCGGTGTATTCGTTCAGATATGGTATTCAAGAACAAGTCTGCTGTGATTGTCATTTTGGCTATTCTTTTGGTCAACAACCCTGGTCTTCTTACAGTAGAAGGTAAGGATACCCTGCTTCCATTTACAAAAATGAATTTTGATTGATATTTTGTATATTATTACACGTATTATTGAAATATATTATTCCTTAAATTATTCAATATCATATTTAAGTCAAATTGTGTCCGGAAATAGTTTTCAGCATTTAAATTTTTTTCTAGATTCAAAACCGACAAAATGATGCTTAAATAATAGCTCCAGCATGTACGTTAGGATATGATATTCAGTATCGACACTGTTGTATTTTCTTTTGTTTATTCTTTTGTTAAACAATCCTTTTTTTTTGGACGTTGAATGCTTTCTACAAACTTTTTAACTCTCCCTTTGTACTTATGAAGTTATTAATCCATCTGAAAACTATACAACATTAAAGACTAGTTTTTCTACATTTCAAAATCATATCTTTAATATGAGTTCTTCAGCTATTTATGTTATTGAGCACAATTCTCACAAACGCCCTCATTTTCACCTTCTTGGCAGAGATCATTTTAAAATTTAAACATTGTTCAGCTCAGTGTAGTGACCATGCCTACTTTACAAATAAAATCTTTGCGAGGACAAAAAGAAAAGGCATGGGGTTTCGTGCTATTAGAAGTTCTTTAATAAAACTTTTCAACTGTTAAAACATAAAATTAAATACTTCTACATTTATTATGATAAACTGTTTTTTTCATTACTTATTGCATGACCCTCGTTTTTTGTTTGTTTGTTTATTGTTTAACGTCTCTCTCGAGAATTTTCGAATTCACTCATATGGAGACGCGACCACTTGCCGGCGGAGAGCTGCACATTTTTACCTATACTCGGCACCTAGGGCCATTGAGCAGTGAGGGATCTTTTTCGTGCAAGCACCTACTGCGACACGGGACCTCGGTTCATACGGTCTCATCCGAAGGACCGGTCTCCACGTCCTACAGTGGGATTCGAACCCGCGACGTAAGGATCAACTCCTTACTCGGCGACTCTAGAGTGAAAATTCTAACCACTGCGCCACGCGGGCGACGAATGACCTCGTATCGTATTGTATTGTGACAAGAAATGAGATATATATAAAAAGCTTGTTTTTAGCATATCATAATCATTGATATATTTTACTTATTTTCATTTAAGAAGTGTGCGATATAATTTGTATACATATATTTATATGCAGGCCCGTAATACGATAAGGCGAGTAGGGTTTTTAAGGACCGCCTACTGATTTAATTTATTATGTAACAATATCTTTTCGTCTTTAATTTAAGGATTGCCAGTCTTTGATAATTGAAATAACATATACTCTGGATGAACAGGATCTGGATTGTCAATGTGACTTGATTACCTCGTAAATTTCCTAGGGCCCATAGATAAGATAGTTGGGGATTACCTACATCCCACTGCACACGCAGTATAATTATGTAATACATGTGCACATTTTTTTGTGAAATTATGCAGTGTTGTGAAGTTCATAACCTGTCTGTTTCAAAATCATAAAAATGATAATACGACGATTTAGTGAATGTTAGCTCTATAAATCTTAAACGTACTCACTGGATTATATATACCATGTATACTGCTGCGCGGGTATGTTAAGGAAGCATATAAGTCAATTCTCTGGAAATTTAGACTTTTTAAAGAAAATTAAGTTTGATAATTTACCAAAACCGCTGATAAATGTAAACTATTATTATCTATCGCATAAAGATAAAAGAGTGTCTAACGCAAAGACGTGCACCACCACCACCACGGCATCACGTGACTTCTATTAATAGCGAAATTTTCCTTAGTAAAAAAGCTAACAGAACAACAATACCCCGAAGTGTAATAATTTCTTTGAGTAAATAATATAGTTGGAAAATATCTATTTTGCCTAAAAAGTGCTGCTAGAATCCCACTGTCCCGTCAGTAAAATAATAATTCCACACATTCGCACGAAACCTTACCCGATGTTTTGAATTTTATACATATAAACCGAGACTTTTCGTAAAACCATGCATAACTCGGGATTCTAGCAGCACTTTCCAAGTATTTTAGGAGGCAAACTTTCCATCTGTACAAATCTTATGTTTTGAAATATACAGCTTATTGTTGTTCTGCTGCATTATTTTTTTCACAAATGACAGAGGAAAGGCCGACCGGGATACGTATATAGCTGACTGTCTTCGAAGAAAATACAATCGATGAAAAAAAATTAGCATACCTGTTTCAGTAACTGAACTCCATATGAATTTCTCAAAATATTCAGGATATTTGCTTTTAAACTCCATTTTACGTATCTTTGTACATGCCGTCTTAGCCAAATTCTCTTTACACGACATGATCAATTCCCAAGTTACTTGAAGTACACATATGACGTCATCGGTGGTAGATTTTAATCAAAATGACAGATACAGCATAACAAAATAAAAACATTTTATTTTTGTTAATGTTTACACGTTTCTATTCATTTTCTAGAGTTAAATTACATCTCTAAATACGAATATTACGAAAACTTATATTCTAAAATTGACGTCATCTCGCCTACTATGACGTCATAATGTAGCACTGATTAAGTCCAGGTAGAATATTTTGTATGCTTCCTTATTACCCCTGCGTGACTTACAAGTATTTTGGAATATGAGCAAGGTGGGTAACTCAGGTTACCCCCCCCCCCTCCCCCCAAAAAATGCTGTGATCGATATTATCATTTATAAAAGAAACATGTTGAAAGAGGAATTGACTAATCATGGCGTGATTTGTTTTTACCCCCCTCCCCCTATGTAATACTAATAAAATTCTGTATTTGGTACTTGAAACATTAAACCATTTTTAAAATGGTCCTTAAAAAGATAGAACTTATTCGATTTATAAGGCTTTTGAAATTGGATTTAAATGTTTTTCTGTTAAATATAATAAAACAATTTGGAAAAAAATCAAAAAAGAAATAGATAGTAATGTTTCCATCATATGTTAGATTTCATCGAATTGACTACTCAGAGGTCTCAATTAGGAAACTCTGATAAAGAAAACTATGAGTAGTATTCATATTTTGACTTTGAAAGTTATCTCTCTTATCAGAGGGTCGGTACCCCTTAAACATAATTTATTCAAATTGTCAATCTGTCTCTCTGGAAAAGCTGTTTTCATATAAAAATACATTGAATTCACCACTAAAAGCCCCGATATTAAAACAATAAAAATAATCAAAGATCTTTATACTGTATAAAATTGACCAATACTCGCCTTTAAGAAGTTTAAGAAGAATGTTTTATTGGAAATAAATAAGAACCACAGTAAGGGTATGTTTCATGAAATAAAATTGATATATCTACTTTTTTTTTAATTGGAGGTCGAGATTATATGTTTTATCTTTCATAGAAGCACTACGATATTAATAAGAAAACGCTGAAACGATAATTGAGTTTTCTAATTACTCGTTTTTTGTTAACAGGAAATGATTTACAATGCTGGATCAAACGTGGTACCTGCCAATATTATTGGAGATATTGTAGTGGCAGATATCTGAAAGGTTTTTGTGACGGAGGTTCTTGGCGTCAATGTTGTGTGAATTACTTCTAATCTTGAAAATAAAATCAGAATGATTTGAGTTTTCTATTTTTTTTATTTTTTTTCATTGAAGAAAAAGACTGTTTCGTAAAAAAAAAATCTATACTGCCATTATACTTTTTTAGGGCAAAATCATATTTTAGTGCCATTTGCTCTGATTTTTTCAACTAATTCAAATAGACGCTAAAATATGATTAAAACAAAAGCATAACTTCTAAAGAATCTCTTCTCTAAAATACGCTTATTAATGACTACACTTTTCAGCTACATGGCATTTGTGTAATTGGAAAGTTTGCACTCATGTATTTTGTGCACTAACTTATACTTGTTTACAGTATACCGCGGTAGCACAAAACATTTTCATAATCCAATAACAAAGCAAAACCGTTGTAATCATAATATATCGCTTTATTTTTGGAGATGGACTGCCAACCATATTCCAAAAGCATGCTCAATTTGGTACCCTTTGCGATAAAGAGCAATTTATTTATTCTCGTCGGCTTTGCTTATTCACAAAATAGAAAATTATAAATTTGAGAATATTTCAATGACATACTCGTTTTTAAGGATTTTTGGCTCAATGCCAGTTTCAAATAATCTGACAAGAGGGGACTCTTTAAAACCACTGGAGTCATGTACACTTTCAGACCATTATGCTACAAAGTTACGAAGCAAAATGTTGCATCACAAGCAATCTAAGTAGACAAACTAGTTTTATTTATCAATCATATCAGTGACTAAATCCACTTTATAATTTACAATAATTATTGTTTATGTTCTTCATGCTAGCATTAACACTGAATACAAGAAACAAGTAACATACAGTCATTCGATTCATAATTCTTAATAGGCATATGCATATTGGATATTGTAGACATTTCGGGCACGTAGAATTTTTTTTCAGAAGAAGGGGGGGGGGGGATAATAATTTACAATAATCTCCGGAAACCTCTTTAGGGAGGAGATTTCAACGACAAGAAAAACTTACTAAGAGATGTAAGTATAGATGCAACTTACCTGCTTACAGATAAAATGTGTTCCGATTCGTGGAAAACCATTCGCAGACGAAATTTTAAAAAAAATTGTGTTAAAGCGCACAGAAGGAAGAAGAAAGGAATCTAATGCATAGAAGCGTACAACAACAAGAAGAGGTGGCAAAGGACATCTCTGTGTTTGATGGCTTAGGTTTTCAAAGATGCAACCTGCATATGAAAATTATCGTGTCGTATTTAAAGCAATATCGCTGAAAAATCTCTCCACTTCTGATGTAACTTGCAAAGGATTGAACAGTTCCTCTAGGAATGCTTATCATGCTCCAAAGGAACATTCTCCTGGCAACCATTTATGACATTTGACTTTTGAAACAACTACCTTGCAATCTTAGATATTTTGAGAAAAAACAAGAAATAACTCTAAATGAGTAAAATGAGTAAGACTCCAGTTTCCTGGCATGCTTTATTGAGTTTAACTCAGTGATTCGAGAAAAAATTATTAGATTTGAGTAAAATACAGCCCTTGAGTTATAAACAAATGTATTAATCTGTATAGCTGTAAAACAGCTTGATTCAGCCGTAGAATCTGGTGAAGTTGCAAAGAGTGACAGTATCAAACTGTTGCAAGAGTTTTTCATTTAGTCAAAATTGAAAGTTTTGCAATATGCATATGCTATAGTGCTTTAATTTGCAATTCTGCAATGAAACCTCATACGATTTCGAAACAACTTGTTTTGCGTTTCAAAATGCTGTTCTCAACGCGTTTGATATCATTTGAAAAATGATAAATCTACATGTTAAACGAGGTAAAAACATGACTTAAAACTGACAAATCAGCAGAATGAGTTGAATTGCTTTATGGATTACTACGAATACTACAGGAATTTTACACTTCGAAAAGACCAAAACTACTCGCAATCGGAAAAAAAAAAACTATGACAATTTTTTCATGCATTTCACAGATGAAAAACAATATGTCTATTTTTATCTATTATATTTTATTCCAGTATTTCTTCTTTCCATGCTCATACTTACAAAATAAATAAATAAATAAACGTAGAATTGTAGGTTTCTCAAAGCCATTCTGTAAGGCGATTTGCGTATGTATTCCTTTGTTGTACTATCGGTAAATGCAAATGTCACGCGGTTTCCCTGACCAAAGACAAAGGACATATGATCACGCATATTGTAATGTAAGAAAAAAACTTTGTTGGTCATTTATTTGCTTAAGAGATGTTGCTCTTTCTTCTTATCCTTAATGCGCTGATATTCTTTGCAAAACATTATGAACGTGGCACAGACTACCTTTTATTATGTGCATTGTATAACTTTGAATTTTTAGTCAACAGTCAGAAACAACACATTACAAACTCACTAATATTAATTTATTAGGTTAAAACCTACTTCCTTTATTATCGAGAGTATGACCGGAATATATTTTCATCGTTTCTAGTCTTTTTCCTTAAATTAAAGCAATGCAAATTATTTTCAGTTCAGTTGATTTCATAGCAAAATGTAAACATGTGGCTGGTCAACATACTTGTACCTTGCTATTCATTCAATGATTGGACAATGAATCGTGGTTAGATCCGCTGAGCCCAATAATAATAATAGCCATATAAGGTAAACAAAAGTACGTCACTGTTGTAGCTATTAAACATTTTTCTACCAGGTTATTGGCCGCCTTGAAAAACTGGTAGCTACTGAGCACCAATCTTCGCCGTAAATAATCACAGAAGCGAAGATTAAGTAACATGTGACTTTATCCCCCCACCTTCCTTTTTAAAATCATGAAAATGAATCAGAAAGGTATGGAAACACATTTCTTCGTGTATTTAAAAGAAACAAATTATAGAATTTCCTGTTTACTGCCAATTTATTAACCTTTCAATGGGTTAACCAAGACCACATGTCTTGAATTTAAATCACAAATAACATTAGTAGGGGTAAAAGATTTTTTCTTGAATAACCGTCATTATAAACTTCAGGAACCTTTTATCTTCTAGGCGATAATTTAATTAGAGACTTTTTTCTCGATGTAAAATCTTTTTCGTGTCTACCTTTGACAACAAAATGAGTTGGTTGGTATCTAATGTCAATCCATTATTGGGAAATTATCACATTTGACAAGAAGATACAAAAGTGTACACGGATAAACAAATACATTTTTTTCTTTTACCAAGGTGATCATCAAGACAAAGGTAGGACATAAGGAAATAAATAGTTTCGATTTTTTTCACGTTTCAAGATTTAGGCATCTTTTTCGAGAGTTATTGACAATGTATAGAAAAATACGCATTTTTTCATAGAAAAATTCGTTTTTAATGGACAATATACTTAGGTATATCGTACACAATTCATCATGACTCACCTTTTCCTTATCCTTATTTAAAGTAACATTTCTAGCTATAGCTAATATGCAATTTTTCAATAGGAAAAAGACATGAAAATCTATAGAACTGAGAACAAAGTTAGAGTTGTGAAAAAGCTTAACAGGTTTGGAATGAGGTTGTCACTTCACCTAACGTCAAGTGATTGCTCCGTGAATCCTATGACTGCACAGTAAAAACCATTGTAATTTTTTCAAATTTTAATGAATGGACCTGATTTTCTACATACTAATGAACAAAAGATAAGAATTTAATCATACATATGCTATTCTTTAAAGTACGCAATAAATTTGGGAGACCTGGTCTTCAAACAATCTATTGGAATTCCCATTGGTACCAATTAAGCTCCGTTATTAGCAGACCTATTTTTGCATTCATATGAAACAGACTCTGTTCAAAGTCTTATAAGCGAGAAGAAGAAAACACTATGCAGCTCAGACATGAAACTTATAACACGTAGTTTTCTTTTCTCTATGTAAAATCGATCAAGAACTGTATTAAATACTCGTTTACATTGTAAATAAAATGATTATTATTTTACTTGCGTATTTTGTACATTTTTATGCATGAAAAACATGCTATATTGCTTAGTGGAGTAAAATCGATCAAGAACTGTATTAAATACTCGTTTACATTGTAAATAAAATGATTATTATTTTACTTGCGTATTTTGTACATTTTTATGCATGAAAAACATGCTATATTGCTTAGTGGAGTAAGTCTTTTTAATAGAGATATTACTGCGCTGTGTGATTAGGTCACGTAATGACCTATGACCTTCGAAAAACTTCATACAGGTATGAAGATATTTGCTCTCTGCATGTTTATATAATAGAGAGATACCACAAATGTATATATTCAAATTTAATGTGAATTATAGTAGTTCAAAATATCGAATTTTTTTTGCCATGGTAATTCAAACGTACTTAACTTTTTGTCACGGTATATACTAAAGTATTAGCTATAGTCAATTCATACGTTTAAGTTCCATAGTGTTTATAATAGTAAATAATCGTAAGTAAATCGACGCTTTTACTTTATTACATGATTTTTGCTTTAATCAAATATTGTATGGGATGTGGTAAAGTGTTTGATTTACTAAGATATTCCTTGTCCATTTGAAAAAAAAGACATTAGACCCATGTGGCTTGCCAGGTGTTGCCAATTATTAGTAGATATTAGATAATAGGTGATTATGAAGGTTAAAAGTTTGAGGTGATTCCAAATTCAAAAACACTTGAATCACATGTCATTATTAAAAGATTAAATCCTTCTGTGTCAGTCATTTAATGCATAAAAATATTTAGCATCTGGGCATCAATCACGTGACTTGAACCCTTTCTAAGAAACATGTATGGCCTTATTACATTCTTCGTTCCCTTGACAAATTTAGTAGAGGGAAATACCAATTTTAACAAGCAACGAGCTCCTGTAAAGAAAGGTCGGGAGGAACTTACAATTATCTCTTGGAAATATAGCTTTTAATTGTAAAAATATCTGTCGATTTACTTTAATTAACATCACCGGTTTCACTGACGTGTGAAAGTCGACTACCATATTAAGTCTCAAAATCTCTATAGTACTGCAGAAGCGCAGAGTTAATGTCAATGGGTTTACAGGTGTGTGAAAATCAGTCAACATATGATCGGGTCTCAATA